AACTCACCAAATTTATGTTGACATTTTCAAATCACATGTATTCTCAGGAACTTAAAAGTCAGATGTTTCAATCTTTTGGGAAACATACATGGAATCGTGGAGTACTATTTATCTTTATTATTATTGTTATTATTTCGCCTACTTGTTAAGGCGTTGCATGTACTTTATTATTCGAGTATGCTAAAACTTAGTATGATATGTAATATTTTATTTAGAAATGGAAGTAATATTTATGTTATACTTTTGTGTATTGTTCAATGTAATCAATATCTGTGAACCATGACAACGTCGCACTGCCCGACGTTTCCGACGCTGGCTAAGGGTATGACACTTTGATAATCTCCAAAACTGGATTAACAATAGTCATCCTCAAACATATATCCCTAATTGGAGCACTCATCTTGCGACTCAAACCATCAACCACCATGTTGGCCTTACCCGGATGGTACAATATCTCACAATCATAATCCTTCACCACATTGAGCCACTTGTGTTGCCTTATATTGAGAATTGACTGATCCATCAAATATCTCAAACCCTTGTGGTCCATGTAGATTGTACATTGGACCCCATACAAATAGTGCTCCCAATATTAAGGGCAAAGACCATTGCCCCCAACTCTAAATCGTGAGTCAGATAGTTAGCCTCGTGAGGCTTCAACTACCTCGAATATTACGCAATAACATAACCCTGATGCATGAGTACAAATCCCAACCCTGTGATTGAAGCATAACAATAAACTACAAAATCCTCAACACCCTCGGAAAGGGTTAAAATCAGTGCCTCACACAACTTTTGCCTCAAAGTCTCAAACATTACGTGCTATTCAAACCTTCACTGAAAAGCTACACTCTTTTTCGTCAACCAGGTCAAGGGCAATGCGATCTTCGAAAAATCCTAGATAAACCTCCTATATTAACCAGGCAACCCAATGGAACTTCGAATCTTAGATGGAGAACCTGGAACCTACCATCGGATCACTGCCTCAATCTTAGCTGGATCCACTAAAATGTAATTTGGGTTGATGAGGTGCTCCAAGAATTGGACCTCGCCTAACCAAAACTCGCACTTGGAGAATTTGGCATAAAGTCTCCCCCTCCTTAGAGTCTCAAAAACATGTCGCAAGTGCACCTCATGATACTCCTTGGTCTTAGAATAGACAAAGATATCATCAATAAACACGATCAACGACTAATCTAACATCTTCCTACACACCCGGTTCATGACATCCATGAACATTTTTGATGCGTTAGTGAGCCCAAATGGCATCACCACAAACTCGTAATGCTCATAACGAGTCCTGAAAGTCGTCTTCTGTATTTATCGTCTCTAACTCTCATCTTGTGATTTCCTGATCTCAAATCAATCTTGCAAAACCAGTGTCTCCTATCCTTCTTCTTGATGAACAAGATAGGTGCTCCCCAAGGTGAACTACTAGGCTCCTGAAGCTGGGTGGACAACTCTTGCATCTCACAAGGTGCAAGACGATAGGGTGCTTTAGCTATCGGATCCGCACCCGGAACTAAGTCGATCCTGAACTCCATTTCCCTCTTAGTATGCACCCCTGACAAATCGTCAGGAAACACATCTAGAAATACTTGAATTACAAGCAAATCAAAGATATATTTCTTCTTCAAGACCTGAGTATACGCAACATATGCCAAAAATCCAGTACACCTGTGTTGCAAGTATCTCCTATCCCTCGTAGGTGAAAATATGGTTGGGCCGCCTTGTACATCCTTGTCATGAATAACCAGTTCTCCCTCATTTGAGGTTTGAACCTACACTAGTTGATGCTCGTAGTTGATCATAACCCTAAACTGGATCAGCCAATCCATACTCACAATAACACGTATCTCTCCTAAAGGAATAGGAATGAGGTCGATCAAGAACTTCACGTTGAACATCTCCAAGATATAGCACCGATCAACCCTCGATGTTCTAACAGTATGATAATCAGCAATCTCCACCACCAGAGGTTGGTCTAATGTTCCCATAGCAATAAAAAGAAGCTCTTGCAGAATGAAAGGGATAAAAACTATCTAATAGCACCCAAAATCAAATAAAACAAGAGCAGGCATAACATTAACTAGGAACATACCTAATCACAAGCTTAAAAATAAGCATATAAAAGTAAAATTGCACAAAATAAAGAAATAATATATATTGGCAACAACATCATGTGTTGCTCTAGACACCTCTTTTGTCAACCGGAAAGCATGACTCTTCACTACAAGAGCCTCCATTATGACAGGAAGGGTCATCGGTGACCTCCAGGTGGCTTGAGCAGATGCTCTCACTGCTACACCGTATAAACTCGGAAAATCAGCCTTCTTGTGCCAATCTGATTGCAGTGGAAACATATCAATGCCCCCTTCTTACAGTCACTGCTAAAGTGCCCCATCTGGCCGAACATGAAACAACCCAACCCAATCGCACGACAAGCTCCCTCGTGCGACCTACCACACTTTTCACATCTGCCCCGACCCTAGTGGCCCTTGAAAATGAATCAAGAGTCTTGAACTTCTTAGTTGGCACCAAATGTAGTCTGAACATGTGGCGCCTTCCTCTTTCCATGAAGCTCCAACTTAATCTCCCATTTATGGGCCGCATTAATCTATTCTAGTTTCGTACAAGTCGTCATACTGAAAACTCCTTGATGTCAATCCTCAACATATCGTGATACCTTATCATCTTTATCACCTCGTCTACAGGCTGCCACATATTGTGGAACTAATAATGTCCTCTCCCTTAGCTTGGCAGTGATCTCTGTTACATTTTTGTAGTATGTGTGAGAATCTAGAACTTTCGAACCATCTATTGTACCTCAATCGTGGGTACGTACTCTACCCGAACCTAGTAACGAAATCTGCTCAAGTCATGGTCTCAATAGCCTCTTGTCCAAGAGCATAGACCACCTCAACCCACCAGTCTCGTGCTCCATCTCGCAAGAGACATGCAGCGAACCTGGCCTTTTCCCCATCTGGGAAAAAACTCGTCAGAAAGGCACTCTCTATGTCTTCAATCCAATATATACTCACAATGGGATCCTTCTTTCTAAAGAACTTCGTAGCCCTACAAGCACAAAACTCCCAAAAACGAAATCTCATGAGTCATGGGCTGACCAATCACTAGCTTAGCCTGAATGGCTATCAGATGCTCATCCATCATAACTACCAGCTCGTGCTTGATCATGTTCAACATACCCAGAAGATCCTCCAAGATAACCATCAAAACCTCTGCTGCAATCAAGTCGCAAATCTCAGCATCCCCTGATCTAGAACCAGAGCCTGAACCAGAACCACCATCCTAACGAGTCATCACCATAAAACACAATAGCAAGGTCAAAACAATAAACATAATGTCACCACATACTATCCTCCCTCTTTCAACTCCTTAGATTTCCCTCTTCCTGATTCAAGTACTGATCATGTGCTTCCGGTACTACGAGCCATACAACCTTCCACACCTATTTGTACCAATTCAGAGCATAAATAACACATTATGGAGAATCAAGTGCATACTTCAGTTGTTTGTCTAACTTTTACACTTGTTGATATTTTACTGAAAAAATCAAATTCAGGGCGTTTTGGAAAAACTAGCTGGTAGCTAGTAATTATAAGTTGGTAGCAAGTAGTGAAAGTCGAAAGCTGTATTTTTAATTGTGCAAAAGTGGTCAGAAAAAGTAGTTTTTAGATTTTAAAGGTGTAAAATTAGATAAAACACAAAAGCTAAAAGTTCTCAAAAGCTAAAAGTTCCAACTATCGAATGAGGGTTTTTTTTGAGCTTTTGCTTAAAACTAAAAGTTAAAGGCACTCAAAAACTACATGCCAAACACACAACTAAACTTGTTGATATTCTCCATAAAAATCAAATTTTGTTATTGAAGACTATGGTACTGGGAAAGAACCAGAGGGTAAGGAGCTTGAAGAAATTATTTTGAAGTTACACGAAATGTGATGATGGACAAACATTTGTTTGGAACACCTTAGGTAAATTGCTACTTAAAGCAGACCATTTGCAGATAAAAATGCTTTTTTCTCTTATTTCCCACCTTTATTTATATTTTAAGACAATTTTATAGTTTGTTTATAATGTTATATCAATATTTTCATCTCTGCTATTTGGCGCCCCCCAAAAAACGTTGATTGTATTGGGGTAAAATTTGAATGCATCACCTTCAAAAGTAAGAAAAGTGTTACTGACCACCGGCGAACCTTAGTGGGAGCTCAAGGTAGCCTGTGTTATCTCTCCAAAAAATTTGGCGTAGTGAATTTTTTTTGAGAAATTTTCCATTATAGTGCAATTTTTTTTGGAGAAAATTTCCTAAAATTACATGTGACTGTAGTAACCTTCTACAAACTTTTTTTTGTACAAAATGCCACATAGCCTGAAAATAGAAAAAATGGCTTTGGGAAAATGAAACCAAAGGGAGGACCCAGGACTTTTCAACAAAATTTAAATGTGACTGCTTTAGGTGCAAAGCAAATATATCAAGACCTTTAAGCTAGTGGTAAAAAGTTTGTTTTTATATTCGCATTTATCCTTTCACAAAAATTTTATGGTAAGTTTAGATTATAGCATCCTACTTTTATCTCCTTGTATTATTATTTAATTTAGACATCGTACTTAGAAAACTTTACCCAATATTACATTATACTTTAGATTTTTTTTGTTACCAAGAAACTATATTTTAAAAAATCTATCCAATGTTCCAATTATAGCTTAGAACATTTCTATAATTGAGTAGATTTTTCAAAAAAAAAAAAAGGAAAAAAAGAAAAAAGAAAAACATGATTCAATAAGAAAAACGAAAGTGGAATAGGATTCAGGTTGTGGTTCTATTATGGAAGCCTGTGAGATTATTCTATAAACAAAGAAGCTTCTTTTAGGAAAGTAATCAGCTTTCACCTTAATCCCATCAAATCCTTCAAGTAGTAAAAGGATTTGAAATTTGTACCTGGATAAAATTTAAAATAAATAGAAGTAGATTATAACATCGTCACATTAAAACAACCTAATTTCAATTCCTCATAAAGAACGGAGTTTAATCAAAAACTAATTTTCTTAAGCATTTCATCGAACACATGGTATGCCAAATTGACCTAAAAATAAAGAAAGCTGAGATTGAAATACATGTGTATTGATCTACTCTACCACTGCAAAGACATATCACATATGGTAAAGGCTTAATATCTTTTTTAACAAAAGAGAACTTATTAAATGAGAATTGGAAGCTTATAAAATGTTAGATGTACATGTCCAATTTCCTTAGCTTAACGATGAGATAATCTCCCATCTGCCCCAACACGTCCAATTTCGTATAAAAGCTACAAAAATTGAAAAAAATAGTAAAATTTCGTAATACCTAAAAAGAAGCTGACAATAGAGCTAGAGAATTACCTTATGTCCTGATAATTGGGATTAGAGCTACCGACTATGGAAGGAGCTCTTGTCTTTTAAGCTTCAGTTAGTGGTTAATTTAGAGAAAAGGGAATCAAATTTGAATAGATAAAACACCACCTTATCCACCGCTGATTTCGCTATTCACCACCAACGTACCTGACTTTACCAGTAAAAATATCGATTCTCGAAATTTGTAGAACCTAGGCGGAGGTTTCGTTTAATGGCATGTAGGGATTTTGCAATCTTCAACAGAGATAAACATTGAATAAACCAGTGCACGGAAACAGAACCGAAAGGCACCGGATTTGAAGCAAAGTCGTCGAGTCGCCGTCAAAGACAAAGGCGACGAGTTATGAAATCCATAAGCTTGTTTCACCGGAGTCGGTATTGCCGAAAGCAGCAATGGTGGTGGCGAGTTTTTTTCTTAGAGAAAGACGAAGACAGAAGAGTAAGGAAGAGACGAATACAGAGGGTTAGGTAGAGGTCAAAAGAAGGGGTGGAGTGGATTACATTGGAAGATGAGATCGGTGATCGGCTCCAAACTGGGAATGACTTTTTAGACCGGTCAATACCGTGTACCACTTAGTGCTTCTCCGATTAAGTCCGACTAATTTCGATGATCTAGATGTACTAACGAACTTAGGAAACAAGAGTCATGACAACGGACACTTCAAGTACGAAAAAGAATGCTACGAAGTAAGAAAGAAAGCTTATATTATATAACTCAACTTCTTTACAAGGCAAGTTTTCGATGGTTTGGGCAAATGAGCCCTACTCCCTATTTATAGGAACCTTACACCTCCTCAAAGGAAGTTTCTAGGTTCCGGACTGTGACAACAGTCAAATTAAGTCAACGGTTGTCAATCGCAATCTAACGAACATCAAATGTAATAGGCTTTATTTGTAATATTTGACAATTTTTAAAATACAACATTTTATATTGAAAATATAAGAAATATAAATCAAATTATCAAAATAGTTAAAAGTTTAGTCGCACAAATTTTGTAACCATGTATATTATACAAGATTGGTTATCGATTATTTAATTTCAAATACGTCTTAAAATGACACATATTATATATTTGGTAAATTTTTGTTTTCGGTTATATATATATATATATATATATATTATATATATATATATTAAATATTTTATAAGTTATTAATTTATTAGTATGATCAAGTACATAGTTATTATAAAATAAAAGTGCACATATATATATTATTATTAAGGAAATTCCGTTAACATTAAACAATAATATATGTGTATCACATATATTATATTATAGGACGAAATGCATGAATATATGAAACATGTAGTAAATTAATTATTATTAATACACATATATATATATAGGTATACATAAATGATAAATAGAGAAGATATTTTGGAATCTTGGATAAGTAAGAAAGTATCCAGGTGTAAGGATAACAAACTAGAGGGTAAAATTGATGTCAAGTAAATGATACGTTTACATTTTTAAAGTGCTACGTGGTCATTTGTAGCAAATGACTAAACAATTACTGGACAATTAATATCTTAAGCTTGAGTATATAAATAAAAACACATCTTACATATTTTTAAAAAGATACAATTTTAAAGAAAACTTTGAGAAAACATATATAATAGTTTGCAAAACGGCAATTTCAAATAGTAAAAGATCAAGGAGTAATCGTGGGAACTTTTGCTTCAAGGGTGAGTTTCACGGCCCCATTTTAAACTTTTTATCATATTTCGGAGGAGGATACATGTTTTTATATTATTTATTTATATAAATCATAAATTGTTTATATCGCTTATAATTTAGTTACATAATCGTTATAACAGTTTACCGTTAAAACAGTCGTTTACATATATAAAATTTAGTAAACACTGTCGTTATGCTGCCCACATAATATAAAACTATATCATGCATTAACAGTTTACCGTTAAAACAGTCGTGTACATATATAAAATTTAGTAAACACTGTCGTTATGCTGCCCACATAATATAAAACTATATCATGCATTACCGTTACTATGCTCACATAATATAAAACTATATTATGCATTGCCGTTATTATGCCCACATAATATAAAATATTATATTATGCATTGCCGTTACTATACCAACATATAAAATTTTATTATACATTGCCGTTAATCTGTGAATAAATTATTACATATTGATGTTACTCTGTATATTTAAGTTTTACAAAACTATTTAATTATATAATTATAAAAATATTTTTATAATTATATAACATAAATCGATAAACATAAACACGTAAAGTTACAAGACTACAACTTTTAGCGCTACTCATTCAAGGGTTTACATGAGACACATTCATCACCTAAGTGTAATACTTAGTAAAGTCCCCTACCTATAATCGTTAAATCTTAAGTGAGCGGGAGAGTTATGTATAGATCTATACGGGCTGACACCCCACCTGCGGTTGCTAGCTACAACCATCGACGGTCAAGTCACGGGTGATAACTGTCTAAACACTACGACGTCGGATGAAGCGTCGTGAGGGGCAACAACTCGTCTGTAGCTCGATTATGGGAACTCATGTAACATTGATAATCACGCCTAAAAGCTAATATAAGTTGAAAATACTTATATACGATAGAACAAGTACTTTTGGAAATAAAGTACACATACAAATATAAGTTTGAAAATATTTATATACAATAAAAATATTATTTTGAGTAAAAAGTATGTTAATACAAATATACAAACCTGTGAACTCACCAACTTTATGTTGACATTTTAAAATCACATGTATTCTCAGGAAAATAAAAGTCGACGGTATAAATCTTTTGGGAAAATCTTCATGGGATCGTCGGAGCACTTTTTATCTATATTGTACTAATCTGATTAAGCTCTACTTGTAATTTATGGTTTCTTGTATTCTAAAAACCTAGTACGATATGTAATATATTTTGTAATATAAAAATAACATTTGTGTTATACTGTTCAATGTAATCAATAACTGTGAACCATGATGGCGTCACACAAGCGCGGTATTTCCGCCATCGGCCGGGGTGTGACAGATTGGTATCAGAGCTATTGGCTATAGCGAACTAGTATTTTCTTGGGAAATTACGACTATAGCTTTAGACTCACTACTCTGATTAAGTTTATCCCTTAAATATAATAATAAAAGTATTAATTACACTACTGTAAATTAGTTACGGGAGAAATGTCTAAGATGGATTTGTCGTCATGGGTTGTTGGATTTCAGAAAAGCTATACGCTGAAATAATCCCGCCCTCTGACTTTTCTTGATTGACTTATCCTTACTTGATAATCTTAAAGTACCAAATAAAAATTAATAAAACACACAAACAAACTTCAGATATAAGAGTTATTTATAAACTCAAACCCTCGATGAAAATACTTATACTTATAGATGAAGCATGCAACAAAAATCCATAGGAACATAAACTCAAGAGTTTAGGCTAAATACATTATCTAAGTTGGTACAGTACAGCGACCAAACCATAACTAGACTTAGCTTGCGCACCTAAGTTTTATTATGGTCTGACCGACGCACGACTATACTTTGATACTCTAGTTGGCAATCTAAATTCTTGAGAATTGTTTGGATTAGAGACCTAGTTCTGAGTCACATATATTTTGTGGGGATTCACTGGAAATACCAGTAATATCTATTATATACTTATAATTGAAGATTATTTGTATATAGATCATCACGCTATTTCTCATAAACATCTATCATGTTTGATGTCTTATGCAGGATCATGGCAGACCCGGTAGATTGGACGACGATACCATGGGCAGAGGAGGATCAGGTAGTGCCCCACTCTCCTGAGCCCGAAGATTCTCCTCTTCCTGAGGTTCCAGTACCACTGTCCCCTTTGACCTCAGACGAGGAACCCTATGAGGAGGACGATCCCTCAGACCAAGCTGGAGGTTCTGATGAGCCTGTAGATGTAGAGACTGAGCCTGTTGAGGAGGAGACTGAGTTTGTTGATGTAGTGACTGAGTCGGTTGATGAGGAGATAGACCCCACGGAGGAAGAAGTTGATTACTCTGAGTGGGAGGATGAAGAGCCCGAGGAAGAAAGAGAGACAACCAAGGAGCCTGAACCAACCATTGAGCAACAAGCCCCCCCCCCCTACCAGCCTTCCAGATATACCGACATACTTATAATGGTCCTTCTGTGGCATACACTCCACGAAAATCCATACCTATTCATAAACAGAAGCGAAGTACTCCACCACCAGCATCTCCAGTAGCCCCAAAAAGGGTAGCTCCGACTCCAGCCTGGGTAACACATCTACAAGAATGGAGAGCTGAGGATGAAATACCATCTCAGTTCGAGGTCGGAGAGTCATCACGAGCTCGACAACCCACCCCTCCCCATGAGGCATCTTCCGATCCTGCTATACCCATCTTAGTTTCTCGCATATCACGCCTCGTTCATCAAGTTCGCATCATCACTACTGAAATAGGGATTATTAAGGGGAACTCCACAGGTCATCATGATAAAATTCAAAGCTTAGAAGAGGATCAAAGTCTAGATGAGGAAGCCATACAACTTATTTTCGATCATCTGGATTCTATCCAGGTACATCTGCTGACTCAGGAAGCTCAAATTTCAGGAATGGAGCTTATGGCACAGGTTATGGAGCATAGGGTGATGGCATCTGAGGCCAGAGCTTATGCGGCTGAGATGAGAGCCGAATCTGTACAGCAACAACTCACCCACCTAGTTACTGTCCTAGTACTTTTCTAGGTTTATGGTAGACTCACCCGGGCGGGTTGTGCCCTGGGATATTTTTGGGTTAGGGGTACGGGGGAAAAGTTGGTTTATAGTAACCTAGCTACCTACTTTTGGGTATCATCTTTTGTATGATAGTATATCAAACTTTTCCACCCCTAACCACACAAACTTGTGTGGTTCTTGTAACCAAATTTTGGGAAAAACCAATGTATATGTACAAAGAAATGTTTATATATGAAACAAGTATTATTACTAAAACAATGTGTATATTAAATGTTGTAAGTTGACTCTTGATCATAAACAACTTAGGAATTGGTAAAGATTCTGGAAATAATTACAATGACATTCAATAAACTTATATGATCAAACAAACTTATCCAATGATTGCCTACATTATTTTATGAATAAAGACCTATTAGAATATTGTAAATTACAATATATTAATTTATAAAGGATTTTTACAAATTTACATTAACTCTTGCGAGTGAAATAGTCATTATTATACACATATGTATAACTTAGGAAAAAGCTTCAAATGACTAACACTTTCTTTAAAATATCTCTAATAGAACTAAAGCATGCCTCCGAGACGAGTTACCAGATGCAATCCTAGAGCACCAACACCTACCCCATATCCTACACCAGTAATGGACTCAGCGGCCATTGAAGCGTTAGTTGCTCAACGCGTCGCGGACGCTCTGGCTAACTACGAAGCCCACAGGAACACTGGATTCGGAAACGGTGATGGAAATGGAAATGGAGGTGGAAGTAACTCTAATGTCAACAATGGAGGAGGCCACAGAGCATGTACTTATAAAGACTTCATGAACTGCAAGCCGAAGTCTTTTTACGGAAATGAAGGAGTCGTTGGACTAACCCGGTGGATCGAGAAGATGGAGTCAGTGTTTGAAATAAGCTTTTGTGATGAAAACTGTAAAGTAATATTTGCTGCATGTACGTTTGCTGATGCAGCCTTAACATGGTGGAATAGTCATGCCAAAACACTAGGCATTAGCAATGCCAATGCCATATCATGGAGTGGACTGAAGCAATTGTTGATTGACGAATATTGCCCAAGAGACGAAATGCAAAAATTAGAGCAAGAATTGTGGAACCTTACCATGAAGGATGCAGACATTGCAGCCTACACCAACCGATTCAACGATCTTGCTACCCTCTGCCCAGTTTTGTGACACCAGAATATAAGAAGGTAGAAAGATACATATGGGGTTTGGTTCAACCCATTCAAGGTTTGGTTACCGCTTCAAGACCGGCTACATACGACAATGCCAAACGGTTAGCATTTAACTTGACTAACCAAGAGATACGCCAAGGTACTATGGTTCAGAAGGCTGACCTTCCAAAGCCGGAAAACAATAAGCGCAAGTTTGGTAGAGGATACAAAGGAAAGCCGAGGCAATCTGTTTGAGAAGAAGCAAGAGACAGTGAAAGCATATGCCACCACAACAACAACGACACCCACCCATCAAAAACAATATGTTGGAAAATACCCAAAAATGTGATAAGTGCAATTATCATCATATTGGTAACTGCAGGTTTTGTGACAAATGTAAGAAGAAGGGCCACACCGCCCAGTATTGTAGAATCCCAACATCGGCAACAATACCCGCAGCAAACACAGGAACTTTCACGGGCTGCAACCCGAGCCTGTTTTGAATGTGGAGAGGTTGGGCACTTCAAAAAGGACTGCCCAAAGATGAATAATCAACAAGGGAATGCTAGAGGTAGGGCATTCGTGATTGGAGCAAGGGATGCCATCCAGGACCCAACAGTGGTGACTGGTACGTTCCTTGTTAACAACTTATATGCAACTATACTATTTGATTCGGGTTCTGAAAGAAGCTTTATTACCCCTAAGTTTAGACAACTACTGAATCATAAATCCAGTAAACTAAATGAAACTTATGTGGTAGAAATGGCTAATGGTGAATCCGGTAGTTCCCAAGAAATACTAGAAAATTGCACATTAACTCTAAACAATCACGCCTTTCATGTTAACCTTATGCCAATGATTATCGGAAGCTTCGATGTAATAATTGGCATGGATTGGTTATCCCCTCATCGTGCTGAAATTTTGTGTTATGAAAAATCAGTACGACTCCCTTTACCCAATGGAGAATCCCTAATTATTTATGGGGATAAGTCCGGTCAAAACCTCAGAATCATCTCATGTATGAAAGCACATAAGTACCTTCACAAGAAGTACTAATCTTTCTTAGCCCATATTGTGGATAAAAAGAGCAGAGGGAAAGAAATCAAGGATATACCTCAGGTGTGTAATTATCCTGATGTATTCCCTGAAGATCTACCCGGATTGCCACCAGTTCGACAAGTCGAATTCCGAATCGACTTAGTCCCAGGAGCAGCACCAGTGGCAAAATCTCCTTATAGGCTGACACCGTCTGAAATGCAAGAAATCTCTAGCCAACTACAAGAACTTCTTGACAAGGGTTTTATCAGACCAAGCTTCTCACCATGGGGAGCACCAATTTTGTTTGTTAAGAAGAAGGATGGATCCTTTCGGATGTGCATCGACTATCGGGAACTAAATAAGCTGACCATCAAGAATCGATATCCGCTCCCAAGAATCGATGATCTATTTGATCAACTGCAAGGGTCCAATTACTTCTCGAAGATTGACTTAAGGTCAGGATACCACCAACTGCGAGTCCTAGCTGAAGACATTCCAAAGACGACATTCAGAACTCGCTACGGCCATTATGAATTCCTTGTTATGCCATTTGGATTGACCAATGCTCCAACAGTTTTCATGGATCTCATGAACCGTGTTTGCAAGCCCTACTTGGACAAATTCGTGATTGTATTCATTGATGATATATTGATATACTCACAAACCAAGGAGGAACACGAGCAACACCTTCAACTAATCCTGGAACTGCTACGAAAGGAAAAGTTGTACGCTAAATTCTCTAAATGTGAATTTTGGATTAGAGAAGTAAACTTTCTAGGGCATGTGGTCAGCAACAAAGGAATTCATGTCGATCCTACCAAGATAGAGGTAATCAATAATTGGGGAGCACCAAAGACGCCAACAGAGGTGCGCCAATTCCTTGGACTCGCAGGCTACTATCGGAGATTCATAGAAGACTTCTCTAAAATAGCCAAGCCACTCACAACATTAACACAGAAAGACACGAAGTTTGATTGGGGAGACGAACAAGAATTCGCGTTTCAGACACTGAAGAAAATGTTGTGTAGTGCACCAATCCTATCCCTCCCAGATGGGACAGATGATTTTGTCATATACTGCGACGCATCACACCAAGGGTTGGGTTGTGTATTGATGCAAAGAGACAAAGTTATTGCATTCGCTTCTCGTCAACTCAAGGTACATGAGAACAACTATACTACCCACGATTTAGAACTGGGAGCTGTAGTTTTTGCCTTGAAGATTGGGCGACACTATCTCTATGGTACAAAGTGTACCATTTACACAGATCACAAGAGTCTTCAACACATTTTCGATCAGAAGGAACTCAACATGAGACAAAGAAGATGGATTGAGTTGTTGAATGACTACGAATGTGAAATTCGTTATCATCCTGGCAAGGCAAACGTTGTAGCAGATGCCTTGAGTAGGAAGGAACGAATAAAGCCTGGTAACGTCAAAGCACTAACAGTTACAATCCAGTCGAGCCTAGCTGCTCAAATCAGAGAGGCTCAGCTAGGGGCTCTAGATGAAGAAAACATTACTAATGAATGCCTGCGAGGAATGGACAAACAATTCAAGCTTAGGAATGACGGTACTCGATGTTTCATGGACCGAATTTGGACACCAAAATTTGGTGACATCAGAAGCTTAGTCATGGATGAGGCTCACAAGTCAAGGTATTTCGTTCATCCAGGCTCTGACAAGATGTACCTAGACTTGAAGAAGCAATATTGGTGGCCAAACATGAAAGCAGAGATTGCCACTTACGTGAGCAAATGCTTGACTTGTGCTAAAGTCAAAGCAGAGTACCAAAAACCCTCCGGATTATTACAACAGCCAGAAATACCCGAGTGGAAGTGGGAACAAATTACAATGGACTTCGTAACAAAACTACCCAAGACACCCAGTGGTTACGACACTATTTGGGTTGTAGTTGATCGATTGACTAAGTCCGCCCACTTCCTGCCAGTCAAAGAAACTGATAAGATGGAAAAGTTGACCCGAACTTATCTCAAGGAAATTGTCAAATTACATGGGGTGCCAATTTCTATCATCTCTGATAGAGATAGTAGATTCACCTCACGATTTTGGCAATCATTAGAGAAGTCCTTGGGAACACGCCTTGACATGAGCACAGCTTACCATCCACAAACAGATGGTCAAAGTGAAAGGACCATTCAGACATTGGAAGACATGCTCCGAGCGTGTGTGATAGACTTTGGAAGCACATGGGATACTCATCTTCCTCTGATTGAGTTTTCATACAATAATAGTTATCACACCAGCATTAAAGCTGCACCATTTGAAGTCCTATACGGACGCAAGTGTCGATCACCAATATGTTGGGCATAATTAGGTGATACCCAACTAGCAAAGAAACATGCAGGCGATACACTACTTACTGGTCCAGAAATCGTACATGAAACGACTGAGAAAATCGTCCAGATACGTGATAGAATTAAGGCTGCACAAGATCGTCAGAAAAGTTATGCCGACAAGAGACGTAAACCTCTAGAATTTCAAGTCGGAGATCGAGTTATGCTAAAAGTCTCTCCTTGGAAGGGCGTCATAAGGTTCGGAAAACGCGGAAAGCTTAATCCAAGATACATAGGACCTTTTGATATTCTTGCAAGAATTGGTCATGTAGCCTACCAACTCAAATTACCTCATGAACTCAACAATGTACACGACGTTTTCCATGTATCCAACCTCAAGAAGTGCTTATCCGATGATGCTCTTACAATTCCACTTGACGAAATCCAAATCAACGCCAAACTTAATTTCGTAGAAGAACCCGTCGAGATCACGGACCGAGAAATCAAGAAACTCAAACAAAGCCGCATCCCCATAGCAAAAGTCCGATGGAACTCTAAACGAGGACCAGAGTTTACATGGGAACGTGAGGATCAAATGAAGATTAAGTACCCCCAACTATTCAACAATGTTCCATCCACTAGATAAATTCGGGACGAAATTCTTTTAACATGGGGAGAATGTGACAACAGTCAAATTAAGTCAACGGTTGTCAATCGCAATCTGACGAACATCAATTGTAATAGGCTTTATTTGTAATATTTGACAATTTTTAAAATACAACATTTTATATTGAAAATATAAGAAATATAAATCAAATTATCAAAATAGTTAAAAATTTAGTCGCACAAATTTTGTAACCATGTATATTATACAAGATTGGTTATCGATTATTTAATTTCAAATACGTCTTAAAATGGCACCTATTATATATTTGGTAAATTTTTGTTTTCGGTTATAATAACGATATATATATATATATATATATATATATATATATATATATATATATATATAATATTTTATAAGTTATTAATTTATTAGTATGATAAGTACATAGTTATTATAAAATAAAAGTGCACATATATATATATTATTATTAAGGAAATTTCGTTAACTTTAAACAATAATATATGTGTATCACATATATTATATTA